ATGCCAGAGTAACTGGCACTCTTTATAAAGAAAAGGAGAAGTGGACTGAAAGTGTGTGAGTGTCTTAAAATTATATTAATTTTCATGGCTTTCCAGTCTAATAATCACACTTTTAAAATCTGACTATTTCACAAATCCAAGATATTTTTAAGATTTCTTTAATAAAAATATTATTTTACAATATTTTAGTATAATATATTTTTAATGAAATATCAGAGCTACCTTTCAGAGGTAATAGAAGAATCATCAAAACAGTCATAGGTGCTTCAACAGTAATTTTATAAAGCTAAGGGAATACCTTGGTGTACAAATAAACAAACACATAATAAATAAACAAATGAATGAATGAATGAATGAATGAATGAATGAATGAATGAACGAATGAATGAATGAATGAATGAATGAATGAATGAATGAATGAATGAATGAATGAATGAATGAATGAATGAATAAACAAACAGACAAAAATTACTACTTTATTGAACAATATCTTCTCTTCAGTATCAGTCCAGGTCATGCATTTCACGGTAGATGAAAGAGGGGCTTATGCATTTGGAATGACTTGAGGGTGAGTAATTAATGACAGAATTTAAATTTTTAAGTGATCTCTCCATTTCAAATGTAAACAGTGAACTATAAAATATGTTTTCCATTAGCCTAAAGTTTTACTTCTTTCATTAGTTTCATTACTTTGCACTGTTGAGAACTTTAGAGACTCTCATCAGGACATTGCTCAAGTTTGTATCACTCTGACAACAGCCATGATGACGTCACAGAGAACAATGGCATTTTCGTTTGCTTTCATTCACTGTCACAATAACATTCTTTCACTGTCCATCCAGCATCGCTCATTCGGCTTTTCATCTACTCTACGTTCTGGTCAAAGGACTCTCTCTCTCTTTCTGCCTGCAGAAAGAATACAAAGTAGTGGCTGGTGTACGTGAAGTCTCCCTCCAGAATCTCCTTCCTTCATAAAAAAATCTCACAAAAACGAGCAGGCACGAGCAACAACACATGAACAAATGTTCTGCTTTATCAGTTTTACACCAAGAATACAATTTAAAGAAGAGGTGAGATATAGAAGAAGAGAAATCCAACTTGCTCTGAAACTGAAATGTGTGTTTGTCACGCACAAGAGCAGCCCGGGGGCCTAAAATTGCTAGTCTGTTTTATTTATCACTTTAAGGCAGAGCTGTAACTGTTTTAGACACCGGCAGGACAATAATTAGAAATAGCCAATTGTCCTCCCAATGTTCGATAGATACTGTGCTAGAATGATGAAACATTATCTGCTCTGTAGAAGAGACTGTGTGTGCAGCTGTTTAGATTTCAACGGTAGCAGGACTCCTCAGGACTATTGCTAAGAATAACTAAAAAAGTATATGTAATCTACATAAGAAAGGCTCCTGATTTCAATTCATTAGGAATATCTTACAGGAATATTACATGAGATACAACATGCCGGCTGTGCTGTCAAGCCTATAGTTATATTTGAAAACAGAAACTTTATAATTACTCTACAATACACTGTGATTTTCAAATGATCAATGGGACGTGTAACTGGAGTAGTATATTTTAAATTATGATATTATTGTGTTAGTTTGAATGGCCATCGGGCTAGTTTTTGGCTATTATGTTAAATCATTGCACTATTTTTTATTTTTTTTTTAGCAAAAACCTGGCAAGAGTTTAAAAACTCTTTATCTGAAAGAAAGCATGTGTTTAATGACTGAGAAGCTATGGACATTTTTTTTTCCCTTTAGAGACGTACCCATTAGAAATAATTGCCATATGAATAAGAAGTTCCTGCATCAAAAAAAAAAAGAAAAAAAAAAACTCTAGAAATGACTTTGTTCTTCAATGCCTTCCACATCAGGTGATAATGCGCGTTTAAACTTTTTACAGTCCGCTTGGCATTGAGTGTTTGCAATTAAAATCATTTAGCGGATGGCAATCTGTTAATTATCCCTTACATATTTAATAAATGTAAACATATTTATACAGACAGACAGACAGACAGACAGACAGACAGACAGACAGACAGACAGACAGACAGACAGACAGATAGATAGATAGATAGATAGATAGATAGATAGATAGATAGATAGATAGATAGATAGATAGATAGATAGATAGACAGACAGATAGATAGATAGATAGATAGATAGATAGATAGATAGATAGATAGATAGATAGATAGATAGATAGATAGATAAGTATCATTATATTAACAATTCAGAATACTAAATTAATTTTTTATCGTTATTTCTTTAGATAACTGGTGAGATTTGCATCAAAGATGACAATTCCTTTTGCAAATATTCATTGCCGCACTTCAGTTTTAGATTTAAGCTAATCTCCTTCATCAATTTAATTAATAATTATTATTATTTTACAGGGTTGAGATTAAGAGTTCATCATCATCAACTCACAAGTTTAATTGTATATAAGATTATATTGCAATGACCACAATATGTTGGAGAACAAACACTTAACACTCCTAAATAAAACTTTCCTTTTTACCTCAGTACAGACATCTATTCACCCTACCTTTAGCGCTAATTCACTTTGTTATTAAGCAAACAAAGTCAGATCAATTAAATAATGTCTTATAGTGAGTATTCAGGATAAACAAACATGACTTTGGATTTTGCTGTTCTAGAGAAGAAACAATAACCTCAGACAAGATTTCTAAAGACCGCAAAACATTAGTTGCTGTTCTCCATGGAGAGACTGTCCAGGTGATTTATGCTTTCAGAAGGTCACTAAAACCCCAAAGAAAAAGGGACCTATCTAAAGACGTGTTTAATATTGATTAACTTCATCCATGTACTGACATACTGTTTGAAGCTGAAGCGATTTTAAATATTGTAGTCAAAACTAATACATATTTTTTTCATGTTTTTACTCATAAAGCCAATAAACACATTATCACCACACAACAAAACTAAATTGCATTTAAATAATGCTGAAAAATAAGATAAATAATTTAAAATGGTATTAATGTTAATTTAGGCATCACAACATACAGCATGAAAACTGTTATATGTTAATTGCATTTTAATACCTGACAATTTTTTGTGTGTGTTTTACAGATTTAAATGGAATGACAGAAGAAACAATTATTGAATTGTTTAATTAATTATTTAAACAATTATTTAAATTAATAATTCATTAAATTTTGGGGCGTTATGATGACGCAGTAGGTCGCATAATCACTTTACAGCAACCCCAGCTGTGTCAGTTAGCATTTCTGTGTGGAGTTTGCAAGTTCTCCCCATATCCATATGGGTTTCCTATAGGAGCTCCGGTTTCCCTCATAGCCTAAAGACATGCAGTAGAGGTGAATTGAATAAACTAAATTGGCCGTAGTGTTTGTGTGTGAATGCAAGAGTGTATGGGAATGCAAAAGGAGTATGAAATAAAAATGTTCCTTCAGTTTAGTCCCTTTATTAATCAGAGGTCGCCACAGCAGAATGAGCCGCCAACTTATCCATCATATATTTTACCCAGTGGATGCCCTTCCAGCTGCAACCTAGCCTTGGGAAACACCCATACACTCTATCCAATTCACCTTTAGCGCATGTCTTTGGACTGTAGGGAAAACTGGAGCACCCTAAGGAAACCAGCACAAACATGGGGAGAACATGTAAACTCAAATGCCAACTGACCCAGCCGAGGCTCGAACCAGTGACCTTCTTGCTATGAGGTGAGATATCCATTTTAATGTCCATTTGGGATTGGTGATTGTGTAAATAAAACTTAAATTTTTTAAAGGTGAGGCCATAAAATGTATATGTGTACTTGATGACTCTGCTACTGTATTTATGCATACCGGCTATCTGGGAAAAATAAACAATAATTCACTAATTAAGAACCAAACACTGCAAGCCAGCAAAAGGATCTCATCTGCATGAGGTGAGAGTATCATAATAGGATGCTTGCATCCCCCAATCCCACAGGGAAGAGTGAACTTTTGATTCATACTTGCGTGTCTCTGTGAACAAAAACATAATAGATTATGAATCACTAGAGATGCCACAGGTCATCTCTCAGAGCATAAAAACCTGAGAATCTCTTGACAGGTGAATAAATACAGCCTTGCTTTCCAACGCCTTGGGGGATTTTTCAGTGTGTGAGTCGGTGTTCTTGCATTTGTACATGTGTGTGTGAGTGTGTGTGTGTCTGTGTGTGAGCTTGCATTAATCAATCTTCAGACTTCTCAATAATTTACCACAACCATACTCTCTCTGTCTCTTTCTTTCTGACAAACACACACACACACACATTTTGCATGTCTTAGGAGACGCTTATATACTCCACCAAATGATCTAATCCAGGCTAGGTAACACATATAAAAACATTATAGAATATTTAAGCAGGGTATCTGAAAAACACCGTCAAGATTCAAATACTGTATCATTCAATTAAACAATCCTTAACAAAAACTACAACTAAATTTAGCTAAACTGCATGACCTTAAAAGTAATTTCTGCTGACTACCCACTCAAAGAAGACAACCAGTATTTCACATCATCTTAGCTGCGTTACACCAGCCTAATACTGACAGGCATTATTATAACCCCTTTAATTATATTAATTTAAAGGTCTGATCCTGACAGGCACATCCAATTCCCTGAAACACATTTGCATAGGCAAAAGCTCATTATCACATTTAAATTCATGCGGTCACATTTATGAAACCATTTAAAGCATGGGCTACTCATACAGTTAAAGCTTCTTTTAAAAGTGCTATCCATTAACTAAAAGGTAAACAATTCATTCTCTCATTCATCAGCAGATGTATTATTTTATCCATTCTTTGAGCAGCTTTACAATGTTTCCACCACAAACATCACTAAGACAGCAAGAGAGGAAAAGTAGCAAATTGAGCTTAAAGTATCTCCTGAGACCACCAACTGCCGTACATTTACCTGTATTTAATGACATGCAGTTACAGATGAAGAGATGAGGTAAGAAAATGCAGAAGAGGGTCTTACCTGAGAGAAAAGCAAGGGAAAAGGAAAGAGAGGAGAGGAAGAGAGGAGGAAGCATGATGCGTGATGCTCTGAGAGACTCAAGTGAGGGTGCTTCTCCTAAGCTGCTAGTTTCTCATCTGAGCAACACAGAGAAAGAGAGAGAGCGAGTCACATCTACATCGCTCAGATTGGACATGGCTCAACTCACTGGCAAACCAGCAACATGATAAGACAACACTAACACGTGTGTGCTTGCGTAAATAAAACCACAAGCTGTCTATTATTTAAGGGATCCTGTTGCTACTGTCCTGTGAAGACGTGGTAAGACAGGAAGGCTTATTGAGATTGATATTGGCTATAGAAATGTGTGTCTGTGAAAGTTAAAAACAATTACAAAACACACATATTGTTTGAAGTCAAATATGTGCCATGTGGTGATAATCTGAGCGGACCTCATTTAAGATGCTTCAGGAGTGACTGGAATTTTGTCTTATTCTCTCAGCTTTCAGCTTTACATGGCAAAAAACAACAACAACAACACATAATTAAACTGCCAAAGATAGTTGGGTTTTTTGTTGCATACTGAAATTTGTGCATACCCAATTGTTTTGTTTGCCAAATTTAAACAATTAAACAATACAACTACTGGTAACATCTGAGATTCTCTCTCGATCAAAGTCAGACTTTTAATCTTATAAGTCAGTATACTAAATATATTTACTAAAAAATAGATCAAATATGTTTTAAAATTATAATAATATATATAAAAAACAACTTATTATTATGGGTACTAATTAGACCTTATATTACAGTATAAGGTGCCCCAAGTCCAAAATTTGGCTGCTTAGTTTTCCCATTATGACATCATAAATTGGGAAAATATCCAATAGAAGATGGCTCTAAATTTTTCTTTTGAATTATTTAAATGGACAACTTCTGACTGAAGAAATGAGCTTGATAGTTTGTTATTTGTCTATAGGCTATTTTTTATTTAACATACCTGTCTGAATAGATACCTAATTGTTTTTTTTTTTTTGTTTTTTTTAATGATGAATGATAATTAATTAGCATTTTTAAAATAAGCATATTTTCACATTTCTTTGTTCAAAATGTTTAATTCAAAATTGTAATCTCATTACATTATTAATAAAACTGTAATAACTTTAAATGCACATTTGTAAATTAACACTTAGTGGTAAAGCACTTTGACAAAAATATTTTTGTTGCTTCAAAAAGTGTGGTTATGATGATCATCATATGACAAGCTAGTCTAGAAAATATTATTGCTTAAAATGTCACTAAAATACAGTATTTGAACCACATAACTTAATATAAAATGAAGTGAATACCTACAAAAAGATCTGTTTAAAAAAAAGAACCACCCCAATAGGCTGCCTATGGGCCTGTATTAGCCTATATTATGACATTAGATTATGGAAAACTCTTAATAATAAGGATAATAATGGGCAGCACGATGGTGCAGTAGGTAGCACAATCACTTCACAAGAATGTCGCTGGTTCGAGCACCAGCTGGGTTAGGTGTTTCTGTGTGGAGTTTGCATGTTCTTCCGTGTTGGTGTGGGTTTCCTCCGGGTGCTCTGGTTTTCCTCACAAGTTCAAAAACGTGGCATAAACTAAATTAGCCATAGTGTATGAGTGTAAAGAGTGCATGGATGTTTCCCAGTGATGGGTTACAGCTGGAAGGGCATCCGCTGCCGTAAAACATATGCTGGACGTAAAACATTCTGCTGTGGCGACCCCGGATTAATAAAGGGACTAAGCCAAAAAGAAAATGAATGAATGAATAATAATAATAATACAAACCCTAACAAATTACAAACTTGTTAAGCCATTTAGTTTATTCCTGTAAATAAAGCGTATTTTTTTTGCTACTAACATAATACTATTTTTATACATAAAAGTCATACCTGAATAATTATTCAGTGGACCAGCAAAAACGCCCTCGCTCGCGTTGCTGTATCTCGCCTTCATCAGCCTTTATTCATTTTCCCCGCACTAATCCTGTTCTTTTTTAATATCCACAGCGCCATCTAGAGGAAAGCGGGCAAAAGATGAACGGGCTTCCCTGACTCTTCGACATACCATACGTCATCGCCGAGCGACAACAGGACTGTAAACAAGCTTGAAAACACGTATTACCGATTGTGAGTTTAACCAGAACGTAAAAAAGAGGTTAAATATGCCCAAAGTGGTTTCTCGCAGTGTGGTGTGCTCGGACACGCGTGACCGGGAGGAGTATGATGACGGAGAGAAACCCCTTCACGTGTATTACTGTCTGTGCGGCCAGATGGTGCTGGTTTTGGGTGAGTAAGCGAGTAGCGAGTTTAGCTTACAGCAGTAATCATGGCAGACGGTCAAAATGCAGTAATTTACTCACTACGTTCAGCACAAAGTGACTAGTTATAGGAAATCTTCAGTGCTTTGAGAAGCAGCAGTCTCAACTTCCTTTCAGGAAGGCGAAAAACTTACAAGCGTAGCTTATCTCAATATATCTCAACAAATACTGCGGTAATGTATTGTAAATAATATAACGTTTTTGAACAGTACTATAGTACAGTGTATTATGCTGCACGTAAATTTAGTTTTCACAACTCTTTGTTAATGAATGTGCATTGATGCATTTGCTCTTTAGTGTTTGGACTTTCAGCTGTGAAAATTAAACCACCCTGAACTGAACTGAACATCAACTCTGAAAACTAGACTGACACAATTCAGTTTACCAAAACTTCTATGTTACACTGCTGTGACACAATCTACATGGTAAAAAAGATATATAAATAAGCATAAATTGAAAAATAAATTGAATCAAATGAATGCTACGTCATAGTGTTGTTTTAGCTATAGTGAGCTATGGTAAGATTAATTCCCCACTTTATAATATGTTGCCATAAGACCTTTTCCTTATAATTAATACTTTTGTTGTTTGAAATGATTTAATTGGTGTTGTGGTATTATAAGCCTTAACACAGAACTTATAAATGACACACTTTAAACATACTTTACACCACCTAAATGTAATTACTGCTTGAATACCATTAGACAAAATTTTTATAAGGAGAGTACTTTGATGGACATTTTAAAAAAGGTACCACCAAGAAGAATCTTAAGTTATTTATCAAAAATTGAACTGAAAAATCATATTTAACTTTGAATAAATTTTGTGTGAATTTTATTTATATCTATCCTATACATTTGTCTAAGTAACTTTTTATTGTAATACATATTTGTTTTGTTTTTTGCCATAAAATAGCCATAAGGTCCTGATGTGGCAATAAATAATAAATAAATAAACATACTTTCCACCAACTGATATTCCAACAGCTTTCATTTATTCCATTTTTCTTTTTACTGAATATTATTGAAAACAAACAATATTATATTATCGTGTATACAAGATACAGTTAGTATAAATATTTCCTCCAGTAAATATTATAACAATAAAATAACAAGTCTAATATATCTAGATCCATCATTTTAACGTAGCTACTAGCCAACAATGTTTACATATTATAATATACTCTACTACGCATGTCTTACCTCCCTCTGAGCTAACTTACCTGAACTATCTCTATCACTGCTCTTATCAAATGTCCAGTATGCATCATTCTCATCCTCTCTTTCATCTGCAGGAAGAACCAGTCCTGTCTTTTTCTTCTTTCGCTTACCATAGAATACGTTTTAAAGTAACAATTTTGTTATTTGAAATGTTGTTTGTTTTGATTTAATTGGTGTTGCAGTATTATACAACAACTGTTATTCCAACAGCTTTTATTTATTTCATACAGTATATATTTTATTTATTCCTCACTAATACACTGACTGTTCCCTGTATTTATATCTGATTTAAAGTATTGCCATTAAAATTTGATTTTATCCATAATGCAAATGTCCTTAACATACGACTAATCAACATTATATTACTAGGATTCATGTTGTTATTGTTTTAACTTAAACATTTACAGCTGTCCTTGCTATCTAGCTAACCTATTGCAATAATGCACATTCCACTATTGCTCACTGTTGCCATTTGGCAGCACATACATTTGATCCATTTACAAATAACTAATTTGATAACTTTTTATGTGATAATGCGAATATGTCATCATAACTTACTAGCGATGAGGTCTCAGATTTTTTTGTGGATGAAATGAGTTGATTCTTTGTTTTATTGACGTTTTCATGTGCATTCAGCAATTACTTACAATAAAGGCAGTCTGTCAGAAAACACTGCACGTCATGTGACTTAACCAAAGCACATCATTTGGCTAAACTAATGTCTTCTCTTTCCAACAAAAATATTAGAACATCGGTCTTAAAGAAACAGTGGCAGGGAAATGAACAAATTTCATGTTGCCATATGGCAACACTATTTGGTAGAGGGTTAAGATATTATACATTGGTTCCCTAGCATAATTTACAAACACATGTAACTCATCCCCAGCTGGATGTTCTTCTTGTTGGAAAAAGTGGCGCACAGTGACAAGAGAAAAGAATATTGGCGTTAAGATGGCCCAGGTCACTTGTCAAGCAAATTGTGAAGGGTAAATTGGGGAACAGAAGCAGTCCCAGGACAGATCCCTGAGTAACCCAACATGACTAGCTGATGAATCCTTTCGGAACTGAATCCAAAGATTATGCTCATTGAATTGATTAAATCATTAACACGTATGGTTTGTCCTCTAACTTCTCCTTGTTCTCATCACTTTCGTTTTCACTGGAACTCAGTCGAATGTGTGAACAGGGAAACGCTTTTAGGGAAGACAGACTGATATTTCACACAACAGGACATTGTTCCGCTCAACTTCACTTAAGTTGTGAATATTGAAAGATAGGTGTCATTTTATACATTTGCCTCTTCAAAATGTGTTATACTTTACCTTGGCCTGCATGTGGATGTTATATAAAATGCTAATTTTTAATTTTTTTCGGTAAGATGTGTTCTTAGGAGCTAAACTAAAATGAAGAGTTTAAGTTGTGCAGATTTTGTGATTTTGGACTTGATGCAGTGTGTGTGCTCTCGGATTTTTTGCATTCATGGTAAATTAAAGGGATGGTCTCACCGTCAAGTTGTTTCAAACCTTTATGAGTTTCGTTCTGGTGTTGAACATGAAAGATATTTTAAAGAAGACTTCTTGACAGCCTGTAACCATTGACTTCCATAGCAGGAATCAGAAAA